ACATAAGTAAATTTACAGATATACAATTTCATACTCTTGATACCATACTGATAACGATTTATATGTTAAAAACTGTCACATAATTTATACAATAAATTATAATTCAAAACAATAAAGTCATACATTCTAAGCAACGAATAAATCAAAATTTAAACTCCTATTTCAATATCATTTAAATATGTACATATATATCAATTTTTCGTTATAAATTATACTTATTTTGTCAAATGAGATTATCGTATATATTCTCAATGTTTAAAATTTTAATTTCTTTTAATACTTATGATATTGAGTTCATTTCATTAATGAATAACAAAATTCCATGAAAAAAAAAAAGTTTTTATTCAAGAAAAAAATACTCAGATATGCTTTATACATCAAAATAATATACAATGAGGAAAATTTTGGTAATTTGAAACTGACACTTTACTGATAAATAGACTTTCATTCAACTGCTATTTATCATCAAAATTAATTTTACAATTATTTATCAGTTAAATATCAGTTCAAATTTCCAAATAATAATATATAATTGATTGAAAATGCATGAAAAAAAAGAAACAAATCTTCGAATAACATGACTATGATCGTTACAATAAATATCTTACTTATTGCTTGTTTTATATATAGCACTGTTTATCTCTCATATTCATGAAAAAAGAAAACCGATAATATAACACATATATATATAAATAATATACAATAGAAACGAAAAAAATGAAATGAAAAGAATATTAACATTAAAAATCACATCCATCAATACCATCTAAATAAAGTTCAAATTCTTCACGATTACATTTTCCATCATTTGTAAATATATGTTTATGAAATGTACCATCAAAACTTGCAGCAACAACATGACTTGGACCAGAAAATGCACATATACATGGCCATTCAATAGCTACTTTAAAATTACATAGATCACCAAATGCTTCATTAAGTGCATGAGGTATTGCAACCATACGATTTGATTTTGGATCACGTAAAGCATATAAATGAACAGTACCTTTATCACTTGATACACATAAAAAACTTGAATCAAAACTGAATGTTATACAATGAATATCAGCTGTATCAGATCCACGTCGAAATTCAAATAATTTTTCACTTAAACCTGTTGTTGAAAATACACGAATTAATGTTCCCTATTTAATTAAAAATGAGAAAAAACAAAAAAAAAAAATCTTTCATGTTTTCTTTATAATTTAAAAATTTTTATTTAACATACTCGTTTAGAAGCAGTTGCTAATAAAGTAGCTGCATGATTAAGCGCCATAGCAGCTAATTCATTTGTATGTGCATGTATAACACGTGGATTATAAGACATATCATTCTCAATTCCGTTCATGTTCTAAATTTTAAAAATTAATATTCTCCTCTTTTTTTTGTAATCCTTCTATTAATAATATATAATCAATTTATTTTGTCATATAAGAAAATATATATCTTATTTAAACTTAGAAAAATATTACAATATTTATATATATATATAATCATCTATTAAATAGATCCTATTTCTAATTCAACAAAAAAAAAACTTCTACGTTCTTAATATGTAATTTTAGAGATATTTCTTCATATTTCATCTATAAATCTTTTTGGATTTACTATATACTATCAAAATAAATCTAATGAAAATATAGATTGAAAAAACAAAAGAAACTATATTATGCAAGAATTATCTCTGCTAATAACAAAGTTTTACAGTTCAAACGTTTTTTTTCTCTTACAAGTAGAAAATGTGTCAACAAGAAAAATCGGAAAGCATATAAACGTAAGTTAAGATATCGATAGTTTTTTTTTTCTATAATTCTCATATAACATCATACTTTTCTGGTAGAATCAAAATTTTGAATTTCGATTTAAAACTCAAGCAGAAGTCTTCTAAGCAGTTCCAATCTTAAAAACTTTCGTTTATCTCCAACATTTTATTTATTTTGTTTTTTATTTATCAATTTTTGCAAAAGTCATCTATCTCGTATCCCATCTTGCAGTGTTTTATCTAGGTTTCGTTTTCCGAGTGAGCGAGTCGAAATTTCGGGTGGGAGGCGTCCACCCAGCCCACCTAGTAGATAAATTACTGCCATCTTGGCAATTTCAAAATACTCCTGACCTATTTTATTTAAAAGTTATTGTTCATTGACCTTTTGAAAATAGTAGCTATTGTCCATAATTCAAAAATTCTTCGGTACACTACTGCATATTCCAGAAGATCATTGTTTCTAAATATGTCCTTAAACAAACTCCAAAGTTTGAAGTCTTGATGTTGACAAAGTTTCGGATCAAAATTCAAAATTTTGATTTTACAAGAAAAATAAGATATTGCTTTAAAATTTCAGTAAAAAATGTTTAATATCTCAACTAAATCATAACTTATGTTCATATCATTTTCGACTTATACATACAATTTAAATTCAAAAGATTTTTACCACCTGTAGAGATTCTTCTATTAGATTTTTTTTCTTCTAATGAATCTAATGATATATCATAGTTCATAATAATTGTTTCGTTCGAAATTTTTCCATTAGAAAGCACAAAAATTCAACTTTGATGTTTTGCAAAAAACAAAAAGTGTTTTCTACTATGACTCTACTCTTAATCATTCAACGATACATTATGATCATATGATGAATTATTTCGAACATTAATTTCATTGACCATAGAGACGCGTGTGTCTACTCGAATTTCATAATTGATTATAATCATTAAACTTTGAAAATTTTTTCTTTTCACAACTAAACACAATCTCTTCCAAGTGGAAAATTGCAGATAGTTTTTTTTTTTTTTATTCGAATAATGTATCTCTCTCTTTCCATTCAAACGTTCTTTTGATCTTTATTTCTCTCTCTCTCGCTCTTATATCCAAGAATAAGAAGAGAACGTTTGACCATTTCATCCATCGTACATTGTAGCATAGAAAAAAAACGCTCTTCTTCCACCAATAAGCTTTTTTAACCAATCATCTTTTTCTTTTTCTCTTCTTTTTACTCTTAATATCTATCATTAATAGAGAAAGTCCGAGACACATTTGATCATATTACTCAAATACGTGAAAGGCGAGATTTTTTATGTGTAGACGAAATTGACTACTACTACTACTACTAAAACAATACAATAAATTCTACTATTATGCAAACAACTTCATATCATCATTCATCTTATGATTATAATACATTTTCATCTTTTTTACCAACAACATCCAATACATATCCATCTTATTATCCAAATCATTATAGATCACAATCAAATTTATCAACAAAAATTGAACAAGATGATTCATCAAATTCAAGTTTAACACCACCACCAACATTACTATCATCAAAAACTTTACCACCACCAACACCAACAACAACAATAAATAATTCAATTTCTCAAATTCCAATTATTCTTCAATTATCTTCAACAAATACAGAACAACGATTAATATTAACAATTGATCAATTAGCTTGTGTATGTGAAGCTATACAACAAAGTGGTAAAATTGATAAATTAATCAAACTTTTACAATTATTACCACAAAAATCTTCATCACCAAATGCTACATTAATACATCAACATGATAGTGTTTTAAAAGCACGTGCTATTATACTTTATCATCAATCAAAATTTCGTGAATTATATTGTTTATTAGAAACACATACATTTGATATACATCATCATACAGAATTACAACAATTATGGTATAAAGGACATTATATGGAAGCACAAAAAATACGTGGTCGTCCATTAGGTGCTGTTGATAAATATCGTATAAGACGAAAATATCCATTACCTAAATCAATATGGGATGGTGAAGAAACAATTTATTGTTTTAAAGAAAAATCTCGTCAAGCATTAAAAGAATGTTATAAATTAAATCGTTATCCAACACCTGATGAAAAACGTTTATTAGCAAAAAAAACTGGTTTAACATTAACACAAGTTAGTAATTGGTTTAAAAATCGTCGACAACGAGATCGTACACCACGAACGTAAGTTAATTATTATTTATTTCTCAATATATATATATTATCCGATATTGACAAAAATATTAAATAAAAAAAAATGTTAATTTCTTTCTTTTTTTTTGTTTTAATTCATAGACAAGATTGTCAAGATCTTCAAACATCATTATTAAATCAAGCAGCATATTTTGCTACAGGTTCAGTTTATTCTCATGGTTTATTTAATAGTGGTACATCATCATCATCATCAAATTTTTCATATTCAACACCAACACAAAATAATTCAACATTTCTACATTATCAATCTTAATCCTACTTTCTTTTTTTTTTTCTTTATTCTTCTAGTCATTAATGTATTGATTAAAACTTAAGTTCTTTTTTTTCTATAAAGATGCGCCTAATGAACATCATCATCATGTATTCTTCGTTTCGAATAACATATAATCATCAACGTTTTTTTTTCAATTATGTTGTTTCATCCATTGCGCATCTAGTTACCGTTTTTGTGTGTGTGTGTGTGTGTGTGTGTGTATGTGCGTTTGTTCTCTCTCAGCTACCTGCTGTATTTTATTATTACAATTTGATTTCGAATAAAGACAGAAAGATGATACGATTATTATAAATAAATGATGTCTAATAATTGAAATTGTTCAACTAATCAGAAAAGTCTACAAGTTATTTGATGCGATCATTATTATCATATAAGAGAATTAATAAATTTACACCTATACTGTTATGTTCTTTTTTTCTTCGTCGTTTTCTATTTTAAAAATGAATATTAGCATTAGAAAGTATGTGCGCGCTATATGACACTTATATGCATATTGATATTAAAAGTCATGATACAATGTATACTTATGTCCATCAACTTCAAATAAAAGTTTTTTTTTTTTTTTGAATGAAATAAAAAATCAATGAAAGGAATTATTTTTCTTTTTTTAAGAGTCTTGATCATCTTTAGAAGATGAACTTTAAAAAAAAAACCTGTTATGTAATACTATTATCAATGATTATAGTGAATAAAATATTGAATGAAATTTTTATATTCATAAAATTCTAACTTACTAAAAATTGAACAAAACCACCTCTAGTACTTGAATTAAAAGGAAAAACAAGTAAGGATCCATCATTATTTGATAATTCACAAAGACCTAAAAGAAAAATTAAAATTAAAAAAAAGTTTTTTTTTAAATTAATAATTTTATAAATTAACCTCTTGGATTATCTTTTGTATCAATTGTATGTAAAAGTCGACATTGATTAGGAAAAGAGAAAATATGAATTTTGCGTATAAGTATAACAATAAGTCTATAACAAAAAACAAAAAAAAATATTTTTCTATTTAAGAAAAATAAAATTTTTATTTTTTCAACCTTGTTCTTGACATTCGTATAGAAACTACAGGTAAACTAAAACATAATTCAAGTACATGTGCTTTTTGTTCATCATCATATACATTTACTAAAATATTTATTTTAAATAAAAATAATCGAATATATAAAAAAAAAGCAAAACTAATTTTCTCATACCAACATTCGATGGTAAACCAGTAACATGATCAGCTGGAACATATGCTATTAAATTTGTACGATAGAGCATTTCTGCATAAGTAGCACGTCCAACATCTTAAATAAAAATATTATATTAAATATTTATTAATATAAAATTTTCTTTTCTTTTACCAAGAAAACTTTTTTGTGAAAATGGTTCAACATTAAATATTCGAATACCATCACATGTAGCACAAATAAAACAAGCTATAGAAGATTATAAAAACAAAAAGCAAAAAGTTAAATTAATCAAATTTCAATCATTAAATTTCTACTTGAATCTTGATTAAAACGTAAACTGAGTACATCAGTTACCGTTCGTGTATATCGATTAATAGACATATGAAATATCTAAAACAAAAAATTATCTTTTCTATTTGTTTTTTTAATTAAGATTTAAATTTGTTTAATTCATAATTTTTTTTTTTATTGTTGCCTTCTTCTATATTAATCACAATAAACGGAACGAATGAAAGAGTTGACTAAAAAAAAAAAAGAAAGGAAAAAAGAAAGAATTTACAATTTTAATATATATTTATACACATACACTGGAAATGAGAAAAAAGAAAAAAAAAAAAGAAAAAATGAATAATTTTTAAAAATTGTCAAATTATTTTTTCATTCTAATAACCGGTTTGAATTTCAAATAAACAAATACCATAGAGATAAAACTTTGGCTTTTGTTTTCTTTTTTAAAGTTTTTATGAATCAACTGAGAAAAATGTATAATCACGAGCATTTTCTTTTGACCAATCTATTTGAGATAGTACAATATCAACTTCACCCAATGCATGATTACCAACAGTTAATACATTATTCCATACACTTACACGAAGAAGACGTCTAAAATACAAAAAAAAACATTTTATCCATAATTAATGAACGATTTGAAAAGTTTTTAGATAAGATGTTTGTTTATATTTGATCCATTAGAAAGTATTTCCGATAAGACAAAAACTATGAGATGGAATGATTTTTTTCGAATATTGGATTAGGAATTTTTGTCTAAGTCTTTGGTTGAGAATAGAGTAATGATCTTTGAGAAGTTTAAAACAATTGGTCGAAAGTATTATAATATAGATTCCGACTTTCTCAATAGGCTATAAATTGTCAAAGTTAGTAGGTTTGTAGAACAAACACTTCTCTAGAAAATGTGATATGCAATTAAGCCAAGGGGGAAGGAGCGAAAATGTCCTACTTCCAGACTATGTCGTAACTGCGCATCAGATCTCTTTAGCTATTTCAAGCCTACTATCGACCTGTGTTATGATATATTAGCCGGAGTCCAGCTCACTTAAGTCAACCTCATCCTAAAGCCCAAATACTTCATAATACTTCCAAATTGGAAGTATTATGAAGTATTTGGACTCTTTTGTCAGATAGACTTACGTAGACTGGACTCCGGCTAATATATCATAACATAGGTCGATAGTAGACTTGAAATAGTTAAAGAGATCTGATGCATAGTTACGACATAGTCTGGAAGTACGACATTTTCGCTCCTTCCCCCTTGAATTAAGCTATAAGAATTTTTCAGAGATGAATCTTGAAGAAAGACGAAAATAGTGATTTGAATAGAAAAAAAATGAGTTCCAAGAAGAATATATGAAAATATCAAATTAGCAAAAATAGGGATTCCATAAAATAAAACTTGTAGTTTTTCAATATCTAGAGCTTATAAATGGAATTTTTTTAGATCACATAGTACGATATAGAATAGACTATCCCCCTATGAAATGAGACATCGCCAAATTCTTTAGGATGTTTTTGGGGTTGAGATACATCAAACTTGATTTCAAGCGATTCTATAAGGATGTTGTATAATTAGGTAAAAGAGATTGCGAAAAACTTGGCAATGTCTCATTTGTGAAGAGACGATTTGTTAGCTCTATTGTTTTATGTAGTCTAAATAAAATTTTATTTGTGTTCTCTGTGCTGGAAAATCTAGTATTTTGATTGTTAGATATTCTTTTCTTTTTGATTTTGATAATAATATTTTTTAATATAAATAAACATTTTGTTTAAAAGTTTTTCAATGATTTAATTAATAAAATCTTACTTTTGAATTTCTGATAAATCCATTTCATATGTAAACTAAAATATAAACAAAATTTTAAGATTTTCTAATAAATAAAAAAAAAACATCAAATAAATTTTTACTGTATCATTAAATATTGGATTTCGTGAATTCATAATCGTTTTTCCTTTTCTTTTTGTTGATTTAGATGCATCAGGAAATAAATAACATTTACAATATGGATTTGGATCATTACCATTAATTAATGGCTAAATAAATAAATCATATAAAAAAGTTTAAAACACACTTTTAATTCATTTTTTTTTAATCTTGCTCTTACCAAATTACTTGCATAACGAACCATAACAAATAATTGTCCATTATCATATTTTAATTGTATACGAATCTTTGGTCGATTATTTGATGATGAATCATAAGTAAAACGTGATGAAAAATCTTCAACAAAAAAGACAGAATTCAAAAAAAATTTTTTTTTTAAATTCCTATAGAGTTCATTTACCATCAATAGGTTTTTCTTTTGAATCATTTATTTGTTGATCTTGTTGAATCATATGAAAGAATGTAACAACAAGATCAGACTAAATAAGAACAAAAAAAACGAACAAAAGAATAATATTTTTTTTTTGGATATACAGTGAGTTTCAAAATTGATCAACGAGGTTTAGTTTTACATTTTTGTCGGCTGTCTGCAATGCTAAAAATAATTCAAAAAGTGATTCTGAGGGAGAAAATTGTTTTCAATCGAAATATCAGTGAATAAATATTGTGATTAAATTCCTATAGACAGAGTTTCCAGAAAACTAAAAACCTAGTTTTT